GGGATCTTGTTTCTCCCCAGCCCAAACAATGTCCCAACCAGTTCCTCTTTTATTTTTCTTCACACAAGCACAGAAGTACAATCTCTGCCTTTATCTGAAAAGGAGGGATTTGCCAGGCCTGTCACGATACCCACGTATCTGAAACAAAGTGAGAATGCTACTTGTCTTGTGTAATAAACCCAACTCCCTTTATCTTTACAAAAACCATTTTTTCCACCGCCTAAAATTTAACCATGAAGATTCAACACTTTGAATATTTAACTTCCAAAGTTTCTTACTGAAATACAAGTACGTTTTTGTGAGAAGTGATACCTTAATTTAAACCATTAAGTGGTACCTTGATGTAATCCATTACCAACCAATGTTTTAGCAATGATTAGAAGAAAACAAGTCTGGAATTAGGCCATTTCTTAATGAATAAAAGATACGAAAATGGGGAAGAGAGGGAATAGTATCTGTTTAGCAGGTAGATGAGTGTGGTGGTGAGAAGAAAAGAAAAATAAATATTCACCTTCTGCACACATTTGTAACAGCCTAGATCTTCCTAAGACGGTGTGCCTCTCAGTCTAAAGCAATGTATTAAGAGCATAAGAAATATATATATAAATATATACACATTTTCATAGGCTTGCTATCTGTATATATACATATCCATAGCCAAATTAATAATGCTAACAGACATTATTACTATTGTGTAGAACAGAGATTCATAGGAGTTCAAATAACTACATAGCAATCAAAATTTAGTTATAGAAGAGCCCAGAAATTTGGGTAAAACCCACAATTGTAAAAGAAACCTTCTTATCAGAGACTTTCTTGCTGTGTATAAGTGGGAAGCAAGAGAAGCAAGCCTTACAAAGCAGGCTCAGATGATTGCTGATGCCTATGAAAACTCCTGGCCCAAAGGATTACTCTGAACTGAGCCACATCTTCCACTGAACCCATTTTGTAGAATTTTGAAAATCTCTATGGACCTGACACCTTTGACATCAATCCATGAAAGTAAAAGGGATTAACAGGCTCTGGCCAATGTTTCAGTGTCCCTTCCAAGAGATGGGCAGTGTATCCACAATGAGAGGGGGACTATGAATTGCTGGCAAATCCCATGCTTACAATGCCTCTTGGTCTGTAAATCATACCTTCCTGCTGTTTATAGTTCTATAGAGGGTTAGAGAGAAACTTGCTCCTAGTTGTAACAACTGAGGTCACTGAAGATTACATGCTGCCTGAGCTCACAATATCTGCCCTGAGAAAAACAACAAAATGGTTCAACCTCCTACTCCTTTTGCTGGAATACTTACTGTTTGTTACTAAAAGAGTTTAGCTGTAATCTATAGGCAAAAACCTTCTGTCATTCACATTCAGTTCTTTAGTGGGTAGAAAGGGGTCAGAGAAACTCAAGAGTATCTGGACAGCTGAAGATCCCAACCTGACCCAGAGCTGGGAGCAGTGCATCCAGCATGTGGGTAATTTTTAAGACTACTGTGATGTGTGGAATTATTGGTTCTCTTTCAGGTGTCCCAAAATCTCTATCTCATTGAAATTTTGAAAACAACTCAAGTTCTGTCTTCCTCCAGAGAAAGAAAATAGCCACAAGTTTTATAAACCTGCAATTAGAGTAACCAAGTTAGGCTGTCAGACCATTGGAGCCTGACAATATGTAACACCTGATAACATTATTTTCAAATAACATTTCTAAGAACCCAATTGCACAAGATATTGAAGTTCTAAGTTGAAGATCACAAATTACATTATTATAGTCTCCAGCCTCCTGGTTCTCACAGTCTAAAGCAAGTGTGTGCAGTGTATAGAAAAATCCAAATTTAAAAAGTGGCAGACAAGAATTAGAATGGACAAAGCAACTGCTCTACCACTGTGGATTCTTTCCATCTCCTACCATTCATCATTCTTCCCCCCAAAAGTATATGCCAACCCTGGTGAGCAATCCTACCTCCTCAAGGTGGAGGCAAAGCCTGGAAAGATAATCCAGCAGCTGCTGAGATGCTCACAATTGGAAAGACTCTGATGCTCATGAAATCCAGTCCCCACGCTACCCTTGAATTTCCTCTACAATGGCCCCACCAAGTAGTTACTTGGCAAATATTCACACACTTTCAGGGGCTAGTAATTCACCACTTTCTGAAGAAGACTATCTCCCTGGGCAACTGTAATAGAAAACTCTTTCTTGTAAGGCCAAATCTGCTTCCCAGAGTCTGTTGTTTCTCATTGCTTCCTTTGGGGCCACAGGGAACAAGTCTACATTCCTCTTCCATAAGACTGCCCTCCAATTATCTCAAGACTATTATCTCAGCCCTTTAAGTCTTTTCATAAGCTACACAGCCTGTCCTCCAAACATTCAGATTTTATTTCCCTGTTGCCATCCAAGTTCCCCTAAATGTGTCCTATTTGCTCTATATTTGTCTTAATGTACATTTCCCACAACTGTACACAATATTCCAACTAAGCCCTGACCAAAACAAAACAGAGTTGTGTTCTTACTTTCTCCATCATAAATACTTCTTCTAAGACCAGTTATTTGGTATCCACATCACAACATTAACTCTTGCTGATCCGATCCACGTAATTTGAAGTAGCCAAGTCAAAATTCAAAACCATCATTTATTCCCAAGTAATCTAGCCAAATGATAACTAGGCCTCTTCTATCCCCAACCTGAAGACCATCCATAAGCCTCACCCCAGAAACATCAAGGAACAAAAATTGGGTGAAAGGTTTTGTTGTGTACTTTCCTTTTATTTTTTGTAAGTAGAAGGATCTTTGTTTAAAAATCAGCAAAATAAAACATTCATTTATTCAACATTTATTGAGAACCCACTATGTATAGCTCTCAAAATTACTGAGGCCACAAAGATGAATATCTGCAATCAGTGCTGTAGAAAAACTCTTTCCACATGGCCAACCTGAGTTTTCATGATTATTTCTTTACCCTACTGTTGAGGTAGGTGGTAGAGCATACCCTTGTGTTTAATGTAATTGCTCCATGCGCTGAACAGATTCTAATGTTTTATGCCAGCCTAATCTCAAAGCAACATCAACAATAACAACACCTAACATTTGTTAAATGTGTATTACATATTTGCTTTAATTTCTATATGATTTGATTTGCTGAAGATTTTTTCAAATCTCAGGTCAAAAATAATTGTCTCAAAATGTCATGCAACTTGGTGAGTTACCTACATAAACCTTTAACTCCCATGAAGGCATGGCTAATAAGTTAAACCATTAATTGCCAAATGATATTCTGCTTGGTTAATAGTACAATATAGGAGAAAGAGGACAATTCTGGCATTAGAACCACCTGGGTTTGAATTTCAGCTGCACTAATAAACAAGCCATCAGCCCAGGACAACACATTCTGAGCCTCAGTCTCCATCCTCCCAGGAAATGGGGATAATACCCTTTACCTTGCCATGTTCCTGTATAAAGTTCTTGACACAATAATTAATAGGCAGTAAATGGCAGGCTTTCCTCGCAGCACAGATTATTACAGCTTACATCTCATTTCCCTTAAATAGGTTACTCACTCATAGGGAAAGGACTGAGACTTGCTTTTCTTCATCTCTCTCATATTCCTGACACCTAACATAAGTAGACACCCACATTCTTCTTGAATATAAATGTGAGCATCTGGCTTCAAGTTCAGTTGTATATCATCTAGAAATAATCACATTTCTGTACTGGTCTCTCACTTTCACAGGGGATGTTTGAAGATTTTCAGGGATTATCTAAGATCAGCTGTTATCAAAGAAAAAAACTGCCCTCCTCAAGTCCCAGGCAGTAGTGTTGAAGTGATGCTCTAGGTCTAATCTATTTGACAAACAGGTTGGCATTGACACTTATAATATTTTTAATGTTGAGCCAATTTTAAGCTCAACTTCTCTCCTAAATTAATGGTGTTCCAAGACATGGCCGAGGCAGGAGGAACCAGAAGAGTTTGATGGGGAGAGCCAACACCTGATATATCCCACTTCTGACCTGTGCCTCAGCACACTAAAGGAAAACGTTATTGGTCTCCAGTGTCCACCTCGAGCAATAAAATTAAGAGGTTCACTCCCACACTGCCTCAAACAGGCTGAGGTAATTGCTATTGTTATGGCTTTAGCAATTTGAGTGGGAGAAGATGAGAATTCTGAAAGAGATTTATTTACTGCAAAGCCTCCCAAATATCTCATTAATCCACGTTTCATTTGGCAAACTTTTCTTTCATTAAAAGTGCCATACTCTGTGGTTTAAAAGAAAACAAAAATGCCTCTGGGAAGGCAAAGCAGCAAAGTGGAAAGAACTTGGGATCTGAAATGATTTTGATATGAGTTTGATTTCCAGGTGTGCTACTTCCTTGCTCTGTGACCACAGGCAGATTTCTGTAGTTAGTTAGAACCCCAATTTCCTCATCTATAAACACAGGACAACTGTTCTGTTGCTTGTGAATACTGAGGCCAGCTCTAGAATCTTGGGCTCTCTTTCGTTTAGCTGTTTATTTCTTCAAGGCTCAGATGGCCATTTGCAAAATGAAGATTATAGTAGTACCAACGCCACAGAATTTGTAATGAGGATTTAGATGACTGCATATATGTAAACTGATTAGAACAGTGTCTAGCACAGAATATGTGCAGTGTGTGTGTCACCATCATATCACCATCACTAAGTATTAAGTGACACATATAAAGTGTGCCTTGCACAATACCTGCTACCTAGGAGGAGCTCTGTAAATGTGAAAGAAAGCATCTCCCCCCACAAACTTTCCACTAGGGGCTGAAGAAACTCACTGGGTAGGAAGGTCTGTTCCACAATTACAGCCTCTGCATTTTGGAGAAGGATGGATCATGTAGATGGAGCTTATTTACGAAAGAACAGACCAAGGGAGGTAGAGAAGGAGTTATACTGAAAAGGAGATATAGTTAATAAAAAAGAGAAATTCCAGGTCTCCTGCACCCTGACTACTTCATTATTCTGCCTTCTAAAAGCGTTACTTGGCTGAGTGACCCTTTAGTAGCTCATGAGCAAGATGACCGGATGTTCAAGCCTGTGTGAGAGATGTGCCACCCTGGAACCTTGTGATAACATTGGCACATTACCTGTCTGACCTAAAAACAAAATAAAAATAAAAAAGTATTACTTGGTTGAGAAAAACCTTCTGACAAACAGTTTGCAAATGGTCAGACAGCACCTGATCGTCTGTGATTTTCACAAACTTGAGGTAGTTTAAAGAGGCGGTAGGAATACAGAGGGATATGGGGGCTCCCCAGCAATTTTCTTAGGAGTTCCAACTCAGAAAGGGGACATTCACCTCTCTCCAGACAGTAAAACAAGAACAGGGCCTCTAGATACTTACCACCCACAAATGCAAATTCAGCAAGCTCTGCCTCCCTGGGTTAATTTTAAACACTGCTTTTTAATCCAAGTTTAGATTTGTTTTGTTGTATATGTAAAACATCATTGAGTTTCAGAGTTCTTATTTCTTATCCCTAGGTAATGAGATCCTTTTTTAGCTGATTTGATGTCACTCACCACCAGAAGGAAGTAGAATGTCCTTCTAATTGGAAATACATAACTGCTTCAGTGACTTTTCCTTCATTCCTTCCCTCCTGTCAGTGAGATAGATCTGACGTAAGGAGTTTTGCCTTCCAAAGCAGCTTTCATTTCATGAACCAAAGATAAAAGAAATTCATTTTACCAAAGAATCAGAAGTCAAGAATACAAGAAAGAGAACAGATAATAGCAAGGGAAAAATAATCAGCCCTGGGTTGAGCACAAAATATTGACATTTTTGCTTGCCCAAGCTTGAGTCTAGGTTCTATTTAGTGCTGGGATCCTGAGCCCCTCTGGCAAACCAATGGAACAAGGCTAAAGTCTGTTTTCATGAGGAGCCAAATGCAGGACCAGGTGATGATCTTAATACAGCCTTTAAGCTTTTTTCCAGCTTTGTCCATACCATACCTGCCCTCATGGCGTCAGATCTCAGTACCAAAAATAGAGAAGGCTGTACATCTAAAAATAAAAAATACATGTACTAAAAACTTTGCTTTGAGATCCACATGTATCCCCAAAGGGAGAGGAAGGCATTATCCCACTTCCACCCAGCTTACATCAAGAACTCCAAGAAAGAAATCAGAGACATTGGCAAAAATGGTACCAGGAGAGGCTACTGACTGAGAGTAAAGGCTATCACCCTTCCAAAGGCAGCAGCCTAACAACATGAGGGCAGAAAAGCAGAACAGGAGGAAATAACATCAGAAATTCACAGGTGGTTGATAGAACTAGCCAGCACAGACAGACCACCCCTGGGGACTCCACTGGGGGTAGGTAGAAAGGACATGGAGGTTTATAATAGCCAGAAGGATGAAAAGCCCAAAAATATGGGTTATTACCATTTATATGACCCCTTTTAAAACTCCAAGTTCATGCATCCCGAGAAAATGAGCTTATATTAATAATATCACCTCCTTTCCTTTCCCTACAATTTAAACTGCATACAGTGTTATAATGAGGATCCCTCCTGGGCTGTGCCCAGCCAAACTAACTCTTCTGATGTAGGTATTCTCTGTCAAAAAAAAAAAAAATGTGATTTTTGATGCGTAGAATTTAATTATGTGCTGCTCTTTATATATTAAAGTAATTCAAACTACTGTACCACTAGGGTATATGATTTCTGTTACATTTCTTGTAAGTATGGCTGGTACTGAATTATCCATTTTCTCATTCAGGTTTCCTTGAAACTAATCACATGTCTTTGAAAAAGAGTAGGTCAGGGTTAGGGACCATCTATGACCATGAGAGCGTTTTTCTATAAAAAAGCTACAAAATATGGAGAATTAAGCAGCACTTATTCAGACGATAACAAAAATACTCATTATTAATATTATCTAGAGCCTCAGTCTGGGCCTCAGTTTCTTCATGAGTGTAAACACATTGTTTTGTGTGTGGATAATACCTCCTATCCCTAGGAGATTTTGAGAGTCAGAGGAGATCATCTGAAAGTCTTTTTAACCTATAAGGGATCATGAAAAATAAGGAGCTGCTTAGTCCATTGGAGAAATAGAAACTTGTTTTCAGGTGAGTTAAGATACCTGCACTTCCCTAACTATTGGTGTTAAAATTTAGTAATTTATAAAATTTAGCACTCCAGCTAATAATTCTCATGTAATTACATGAAATTCAGAGGGAAAGAAAATAAAGACCAATCCCTCCCCATCACAGTTTCTGGCAGTTTTAGTTCATATTAGAAATCTTTAAGCAATGATGCATTCTAACATCCAATATTAGTTTTCTTTTGAACAAAGAATATATGTACCAGTGCTAAGTTGCTTTTGCCATTGTTATCCTAAACACACGTGGATGCCTTCTTAAGGCACTTTGCAAATCCATATGCCACAAACTTAGTGAAATGTGGCATTGTAGAATAAAAGTATGACTAAAGAGAAGCATCTTTCCCATGAGAAAACTAGTGGCTTTTAGTAGGCAGAATAAAAACAAAATTAAATTGGAGTCTGGGGGTGGTGATAGCAAGAGAAGTGGGTCATCTTTGTAAATACTTTTCCTTTCAATGTTAATAGAAGCCCAGTCTCCAAAATGTGAGTTTCCATATTACCTAGGGAGAAATGATGTCAAAGTAATTTGAATATTTTTCAAATAACTTTCCTTAATACTTTATACAACTGCAAATCCCACAGGTCTGTAAATCTTAGCAAAGCCACTGTTTCCAGCTCAAAACCCTGCCTTTGAGTCTGCCTTTCTCTCTTCTTTTATGGATGAGTAACATTTTCAATCAAGTTGTTTTTCTTGTTACTCTGGGAACCAGGCTCTTTCTGAATAAACATAATCCCCTGTTTCAGGCTCACTGGTATTACCTTCTACTCTTTCTCATATCAGCTAGAACATGAGAATTTACATCACAGCAACTCCATGGGTAGAGGAGAGATGCTCTAGAGTGGGACAATTCACTTTAGTAATCTTAAGAGCAGGGTCACCTCAGAAATAAATGCTTTACTTCTCTGAGTTGGATCCCTCAACTTCCAACTGCAGACAGCAGTAACACTAGTAAGAATCAAATAAGAATTCACTCTATACGTTTCTAGTAAGAACAGCCCCCACTGCGGTATGTACAAACTTCAATCACAACATTTTAGTTCATTTACTTGTTTATATTTCTATATCCCCTCACTCAACTGAAGCCTTTGGAGAACAAGACCTTTCCCTTACTTATTTCAGGAATCCCCAAATCAAGTTTGTCGATGTTTGTTATGTAATGGTTTTAAAGGAATTTCTGTCAAAGAATTAATTTGCCAATTGACTAGTTGATTGGTGAATGAGTAAGGCAGATGAAAGCACTTTGGAAACCTCTGAGCACTAGACAAATGTAAAGCATTATTACATGGAATTCCATAATTAGCTTTGAACTGAAGGTAATTAGACCGTTGCTCAAAGTCAAAAGGTAATGAGCCTTATAAGTGGTCTTATTTAATAGTGTTCTTAGTTTTTGTTTGTTCAGTCCAGACTGTTGCCAAAAATTTACACACCCCAAAATATCACACTAAAAAAGCAGTTCATGCAATCAAAATAGTGCAAAGTATTTTACTAGTTAAATTAGCATTGCCTCTTACAAACCCAGTGATGAAATGACGTACTTCAAATTCTTCCTTGGGTACAAAGTGGTGTCCTGGAGAGACCATTAATGTTAACACCAACACACCACAAAACACTCAGGGGACTGTCCTCAGATGACCATTTTGTTTTAACCAGTTGTCCTCTATATGAGAGTAGTTAAAGAAACCAATTGAGTTTGGGTTTTTTCCCACTATTCAATTCAATACCACAAATATTAGACTCCAACTGCATGTTGGCTAAGTTCAATAGGACAAACAAGGATTTCAGGGAGGGATGTAGGTTGCAAGAGGGGGTCTTGACAAGAAGACAAATACTGTAACCAAAGCAGAATGTAAAGGCCATAAAACAAATACATAACTCGCTAGTGCTGTGAATCTAGAGACAGAGAACTAACAGGCAGTTTGGGAAGATCAGAAAAGACATCATGGAGGAGGAGGTATCTGTAATAAAAGTTAAACCTTTGAGCAATATTGCAGGCCACACAGACAGGGAGGACAGTATGGTAGGGCTGGAGGAATGGGTATTCCAGAAAGACAGAAGACCAACTCTTCCAACCATCCTTAGTCTGCATTTCCAGAAGTAACCTACATCATCTGTTCCTGGAATACCAGCTTGACTTTGCTACTAACTAGTCTGAGAGTACTCACATTTCATGTAAATAACACCGACATGATTACTGCCAGCATCACTTCCTTTTAACAACAGCAACAAATATTATTTTGAAATAGTGGAACTACATTTTTATAATATCTATGAGAAAGTATTATAAATGTGAAATAAATTCTAGGTGAATTTTCATCCTTATATTTTCTTCCATTTTTATTAGAATTCAGAACATACACTTCTTGGTCTTTTCCAAAAATGATCTGTGTCTAACATGGTGAAGGACAGCAGAGTCTTCCTCCCCAAAATATACCACTTTGATGTAAGGATTATTTTGGTAGAAATCAATTGAGAAGAAGCAGATACGAAAACAAAATATCTTCCCTCTTCCTAATTGCCTAAAAGCAGAGCATTAAGTAAACAAAGGTGTCCCCTCCTCCCCATTTCTACCAGGAATAACAAAGTTTGATCACAAGAGATGATTCTTATCAGCCTGGAAATGGTACCAAAGGAATCCACATTAAAAAATTTACTGACTAGCCTCTGTCTACCATCAGCTTCCCTCATATTTGCCACCTTAAAATTTTCTGCTCCTAGAGACTCAAGGTCCGGCTTTGTGTTGCCAGTTCTCTAAAAATGTTTTGTTCTTTGTTGAAGATACCATATAAAACCCCTTTCTAAGCTACCTCTTTGAGAGTCTTTCCCTCAGTTTTCTCTCAGATATATATGAAATAATCATGTTAGTAAACCTCTGCTTGTTTTTCTCGTGTTAAAAGAAAAACTTTAGACAAATTAAATTTAACAGAGTTTAAGTGAGCAAGAAAAAAAATACAAAAATGATTTGTGAATCAGGCAGCCACCAGGGCTCCCACATGGTA